GTGGCCCAAGTCTGCAAGGTGACAGGAAACACGGAGACTCTGAGAATGTGGTGATAGTTCTCCAGTCAGAAAGACGCACCGGGGGACAGGCCCTGTTTTACAAGGGTGGCAAATTTACAACATTACAGTGTTAAATACACACAATTCAATACAAGCAAACCTCACATTAACAACAATATATAATGATAATGATACAAGGATAGCAGAACAACATCATGTGCAGCCAGGACTGACTTTAAAACTCTGTGAGCTTCAGGGTCTGCTCTGAGTCACACCATGAGACAGCAGCAGACTTTCCAGTCTTTCCAGTCCACAGCATGTCCAATCCATGTTTTAAGACAAAGCACGGTGGTGTGTTGAAAGTGGGTCACAGTTACAAATAGAACTGCAGAGAAATACACATTAACTAGGGTTTTCACAGTGAAGCATGCATATCCTCTCCATACACTTGCTCCCACCACTGTGTCTGCTGGAAATAAAACCCAAGTTCAGTTCCACCTTTTCAGACAGTGCTGTGAATCCTCCTGCAGGACGACGTTGGTGGACTGAGGACTCTACAGAAGAAGTGGACGTCCTTTGCCAAAGCCCCTCTGCTTTGCCAGGCTCCAGGACAGCTCCCCTACAATGTTTTGCAGGATGTTTTCACCCTACGGCCACCAGAGGGGAGCAAGACCTTGGAAACCCTGTTCTATGGTGTTTTCACATCTCAATGGTAGGAAGACGATCCCTGACTAATCCTGCACCTGCTCAACCTCAAAGTCCCATCAAACCAAGAGCGAGTTAGGGCCGCTTGATCTCGTTAAGTGGCTGCTTTTCAAACTTTGCTTTGTTTGTTGTTTGTTTGCCACACCAAAGCAAAACTACTTCATATTACACGTTTCATTCTAAAGAAGGTTCAGTCTGCGTCACATTAACATCAGAACAGGACAAAGACATAAACACAGACATGTGAAACATACAGATAATCATAGACAACCATCTAATACAAATGTAAAACTGGAAAGCTGCTTCACCAGCTTCTGTTTTAACTGGTCAACAGTGAGCAAAGTTGACGTGAGATGCTCAGACTGAAGAGTGAGACCACTTGGGTTCTGCACTTCAGCAGCAGTCCTATCAATAAACACAGGAGCACTGTCTCTGGTCTCTTTCAGGCCCTCAGGTGCAAAGTCTGCAGTTTGCATCTTTAGACTGCAGGATGTCAGGACTGCGTTCACTGGGAGGTACAGGACGTACGACATGGGGACCGACCAGTGGAGTCTGCTGCAGGGAAGACAGTCCTACCTGGGGACGGTGGGGAGCTCACTTTAACACAGAATTAGTTAAATACAGAACACGTCCAGACATCCAGCCATGTCAAACCAGTTAAATTTGTTTAAATCAGGTCTGACTTTTAAACCAGTAGTGTGAACTTTAGTATTCACATTAAAGCTGCATTAATTGATCGATATCAACATCATGTTTCATGATAAAGCTGTCAGTTGTCTGATTGTTCTGCTCGATGTCAGGGATGTCTCTTAATATGAAAGGCTTATGTGTTAAACTAGGTTTATGACAGCAGCAGATTTTTGCCTCTTGTATATTATTGTTACATTTCTTTAACTTGGAATCAAATTTTATAAAAGGTAAATCCCAGATATGTCTTTAAAAAACTCACAAGGTGGTGAGTTCCACATTCCTCAGACTCTCCTGACCATATGAATGAAATCATATCCATCTGCTGCTGATCAAGAGATGTTTTAACCTCATAATTCAAACTGAAACAGCAGCTGGAAGTTGCATATCTGCTGGTTGTTTTTGTACAACACAAGAAGCATACAAACATGTTGTTGTGTATAAAAACGTATTGAAACACAACTGATGTAGACTAATAATATTGATAATGTGGTTGTACAAATCGAGCAAGGACTGTCAGTCAGAGACTGTCAGTGATTTACTTTTAGCAAAACTGATGCACACTTCTGAGTGTGATAACGGGAGATTATTACCGTGTTACGGGCCCCTGGTGAGCTCAAGTAACTTCAGGCATTTTCTGTCTAAATTGCATTAGGTGTAAGGTTGATATCTGACATACACATTATACAAAGTAAACTTACATGTCCTGTAAAACAGAAGTACTTTAATACTTGTTATTCACTCACATGACTACAGTAGCACTGTGTTAACATAAGATAACTGAAACATTTCTTACCACCCACGCACAACAAACTATATAAATTGCAGGGTGAGAAACACTGTGAAAGACCCATTACCATGTAGCAAAGGGGAATGGCACCCCCAGGGTTTGATTCCAGGCCCATTACTGCTCTATCTCATTTTCCCTCCGTGCTTTCCTACAGTGTGGACTCGAGAATGCGACAGATTCTGAATTAGCTGAAGTGAAGAAGAGTTTCCTGACCAGCAATGGTGTAAAACCAGTTGAAAACAGTCCGATTGTTGTTTCCTCAGGGAAACAATACAGTCGCATAGCTGTGATGAGGACTAAGGCAGCCAATGGCACAGCGTACACCATCCTTTTCCTTCTTACAGGTGAGAAGGAAGCAAAACTGATCAAATTGATTATGGGAACAATTTTAACCTGAAAGATGAAAAATGAATTTTTGTTCGATATCAGTTGTAAGTCTTCTGAATTAAAAAATGTTCATCTCTCTTTTTGACACCCAGAGTCTGGTTTCCTCCACAAAGTGGTTTTGTTTGACCAGGGGCCTCAAATCATTGAGGAGATTCAGGTCTTCACACAACCTCAGCTGATCAAGAGCATCATCCTCTCCTCCTCCAAGGTATAATAATTTAAATACAGTAAGTGACTGATACAGCTGCTGGGATGTCAGGTAGATTGAGGATTATCCATGGTGCATATCCAGCATCCAGTGTGGATGACCATACGAAGGCCCTGGGGCCTATTCAACAAATGTGGCTTGTGTGAAATTATTTAGAAAGAGTGGCAACATAATGTTTCAGCTATGCTGACTCAAGGGCTGGATATGGTTAAATTCAGGTCAACAAAGACACTCAGAGGAACAAACTGTCTCGTTTCACATCCTGGTTTTGTAGAAGTTACAGTTTAAAATGCTGAGACTATGTCTGAGACCTTAACTTTGGTAAATGTATTGCATTTATAGATCTTATGGAATGAATGTAGCCTCACCTGAGCGGGTCCAGGAAAGCATAACAACAACAGTATTTTTTGTTATTTACCCAAGGAAAAGGTCATTATAGTAATCTACATCTGTCTCTGTTCATAAAACCTTTCTGGGCCCTGAGGCACATTCAGAGTGCTTTACACTGTTTCCCATTCATGCACACAAGCATTCTCATGTTCACACACAGCCACTGGGAGCAACTGAGGTTCAGTGTCTTGTCTGGGGACACTTCAGCATACAGACTAGAGAAGACAGGATTCAAGCCAGCGACCCTCTGGTTGGGAGATGACCTGCTCCTGAGCCACCACCACCCTGCAAAAGAAAGAAAGATATAACCTTGTTGAAATGAGAATGAAAAAGTTACACTGACATCATTCCCAAATCTGTAAATCTACTCTTTTAAATGTGCTTGAGTTCTTTAATAATGAAATTCTTGTCATTTCCTAGTGTAGTTTAAAAAGTTTTTACCCAAGTAAACATTGATTTAAGGGAGACAGGAGATAGGAACCATCAAAGAACAGAAATAAACAACGGTGTGTCATCTGCAGAAATGTGTTACCAGATGGAAAAGATAGCCGAGCCAGAACTTCTTCCATGTGGCAGTTTCTCAGCCTGAAGGCTGCGTCGTTAGATGTTAGAGAGCAGAGCAGGGCCTTTTTTCTCACAAGCTGGTCTTAACTCACAGCTGAAGATCATCTGAATCTGAAGATGCTTTGAGAGTTAAAGCTTTGTATGTAAATGAGGAATATTACTGCACATCGGTCCTACAGAGAACATGTGACAGTGGTTTTTCTGGTCCTGTAGGGAGTGCTTTATGTGGGAACCTCTGAGGGTGTGACTGCTGTACCCACGGCCAATTGCGCCTTCTACAGAACCTGCAGCCAGTGTGTTCTAGCCAGAGATCCTCTCTGTGGATGGAGCCTGACCAGGAGGACCTGCATCCGTGTGGACAGCAGTTCTGATGCTGTGTAAGTAAAAACACAGATACATCTAAACATGTTATTTGGCCTCAAATTCAGTTGTCAGGAGGCTTCAAAGAAGTAAAACCTGCATATTCTGATTTTCTATATGTGCACAATGCAGGTCCCTCCAGCACACAAGTCTGCTTAGAGTTCACCACACAAACACCAAATGGACTAAGATAGTTCAAATACTGTAGTGTGCATACAACATAACAGAAACCTGTGGTGTAACAAATGCTGCTTTACTACTCCAGTGAGTAAGGGGGTCTGCAGGTAGTGCCACCAGTGACCAGCAGCCTTCCACCAATGAGACCTCTAGAATCTGCAGGCAGTAGAGCTGACCAACACTTCATGAGCATTGAATACTTAAAGTAAATCACAGGGGCAGAAATCTGTTAAAAATGTGTCTGGATGCAGCAGAGACAGGGTTGCACTTCACATCTGGTGTCGTAATAAGTGTCAAACATGTGTTGAGTGAGTTTCTGCAGTAATGAAACAGCACGAGTGACAGGCTGTTGGCTGATTTCCTCCTCAGGGCTCAGGACCTGGAGAATGGTAATGTGGAGGAGAGGTGTCAGTCACAACCTAGGATGAATCCAGACACAGGTAGTCTTGTCTTCTTATCTCTTTGCCTTGGTTTGTTAACATGCCTGAGTGTACAGCCATGCTAGCATCGCTGCTTTAGCATGCTAACATGCTGACAACACCAGCATGCTGATGTTAGCAGTTATAATGTTTAGCTTGTTAATGCTAGCATTTGTCCATATTTGTTGTGTCAATTACCATGGTTACAGGTAATTATATGCTCTCCAACTGATTCCTTTCAATAGCCACACCCCGATATCTGACTGACAGTGATGTTAACATCACATCCACAGCACTTCCTGTTTAGTTACCTCACCTTTTCAGAAATGTTGGCTCCTTGTGTGTGTTTGTGTTTGTCTTCTTGTCTAATTCTGTAGATGAGTTTACTTCATAAACCCGTTTCTTCCTTTAAGCTCTGATGTCAGTTGACAGAGACAGAACGTCACTCAGTGTAAGATGCTTCTTATTATCTGCAGTGTAGCAGCTCAGGCAGCTGAATCAGCATCTGAACAGGGGAGGCTTTAGGCAGTGGAGGAAACTTTTTACTTTTAGGCTTGTTTTCGTTGTGAAAAATAAGTCGTCAATGAACCCTTTTTGTCTTAGGCTTTGTTGGGAACATGAACACAGTCTCACTGTATTTATTTCAACTTGTTTCTGTCCAGTGGAAGTCAGCGTTGCTTTGAATCGAGCAGTGAGGCTTCAGTGTGTGAAACCTTCCAACCTGGCCACTCTGACCTGGACTTCCTCTCAGATCAGAAGCCGTCCAGAGAATTTTTTTATCCGGTCATCTGATGGCAGCCTCAGCTTCCTCGCCTCTGACGCCACCTTCGGGAGCTACCACTGCGAGGCAGAGGAAGGTGGGTACAAGGAAGTAGTTGCAAGCTACAATGTCCGATCCATTGCTTCCCCACGCTCAATGAACCCCTCACCAAACATCCCCAGCCAAAACGATGAGTCCTACGAGGACATAAGAACAGTGTCACCATTACCACTTCCTGGAGAACCAGAGTGCCTCCCCAAAGAGGAGGATGGTGATGATGATAAAGGCAAGACTGACACCAAAGAGCAATCTGAACAGGAAACCAGCTTACAGCATGGTCGTTTAGACACCACGCCCACCTGCAAATCAGGCGCCCAGTCCATGAAGGAGCCATTCGATGAGGCTTGCAAAGAGAAGAGCTACTACAGCGAGCTGGTTGTTGTTGTTACCCTTCTGGTGTTGACCTACATCTGCATCTTGACCCTCGGAGGCCTACACGTGTGGCGACAAAGAAGATCTGGCCTGAAAGTGAGTCCTTTGGTGAGTCCGGAGGAGGGTAGCCAAATGAGCAAATCTGGGGGGCGTGTTCCCTCCCTGAGCACCGCAGAGTACACTGCTCCTGAGCTGAAGGTGGTGGAGTAGTGATGTTAAGCATCTTACCTGGAGTCACATGTTCCAGATCAGTTTCTTCTGTGTGTGCCTCTCACCTGTTGGCATCACACAAAGAATTTACCTGGCAAGCTTCAAAACCTTAGAACCAGTTCACCAGTTTCCTGTCCAGGTGACCAGCTGACTGCATCTGTGTTTCAGTTTGGAAACAGGGCATCTTTCTTGCTACAGATGGTAATGCTCATCGCCTTACTTCAGGTCACCTTGCTTCTCAGGGTGAATTGGACATCATTCCACTTCGCCATCATGGAGGACGTCTCAATTAGTTTTTATGTGTTTGAGGGAGCGAGGAAACGAAAGGTCGACACAGGCCTTTATTACAAACCTGTCAGTGATTAGACTGATCTGATACTGTGTCACTGCAGTTTCACAGCGCCACAGATAGCAGATTAGACTCAGCTTTTCATCATTCTCAAAATGAGACTTTTCTCCATTTGAACCTGTGTCATCGAGGAGTCTCGTCTCTCAGCAAACCTTTTTTTTTTTTGCAGAAATCTTTTTGTCATGTTTGTCATGGAGCTTTTGGAGCTCACTATCGACTCAGCCATGGTGTTAATAACAGCATGAGTGCCGGTTGGCAGCCTCAACATAATGTAGGATTTTGTAACCACTGTGAATGGAAACCCTGTCTCACTTTTTCAGCTTTAGAAGGAACAGTTTCCCTCTGCTTCTAGTCTTTATGCTAAGCTAGGCTAACAGTTTCCCTCTGCTTCCGGTCTTTGTGCTAAGCTAAGCTAAGCTAAACTAACAGGTCCTAGACCAGCTTGTGCTGTGAACACAGAGATGAAACTGATCTGAAACATGTGAGTCTGGAGGTCTGGAGAGGACAGACAGCAGCAGGGCTGGTGGCATCAGGCCTGTAGTCGGTGGCAGATACGAAGCTGAACACAAAAGAGCAGATTTTTTAAAAGTCTCAGCAGTTGGAGGGACGTTTAATGAAACTGTCTGCTGCACAATTAAAATCACCATCAACTTATTCTGTTAATGCTTTTGGATCTGTTTGTTAGTTTGGTCCAGATATAACTGGTGATTTCTGTTTGTGCAGAGAAACTAGTTTCTCTTCCAGAAATCATTTGTCTACTACTGTACAAAGACAGATTTCTTGTCTTGCTGTACAAGTCTGTACTTTTACAGTACTGTGTTTAACGAGGCAGCAGGGATCACTGCACATATCACCTTTGTTTTTAGTGGATAATTGTGAAATCAGGGAGAATATGAGTATTGGATAGTGTCTTTTGTTGACATGCTCTATGAACAGTCCCTGATCTTTGTGTGTAAATGAATGTACTGTTTGTGAACTGGATGACATGTGAGACCTGCTGACTGTAAGGACAGCTGGGACCAGTATATCAGTAACTTAATAATTACCATGAGTCAGTAAGAAGTTAGCACCAATCTGTCTCTAATGTTTGATCATTTCTTAATTCTTTATTTAAGGACAGTTCATACATTTCTTCTTGTTTAGTTGTCGTTATTTGTTGGCACAAATGTGAAACTGTTAATTTATTTAAGAACCAAAGTTATTGGTAATGACGTCCTGATATACTGGTTGACAGTGATGCTTTACTGACTCATCTCTGATTAAACCTGTTAGTGTACAGACCATTAACCTCCTCATAAACATGTTGTTGCTTTTTGCTGCAGGAATTAAAACTTTGTGCGACTAGTTCAGTGTCTTCAAACACATTCGTTCTTCAGTTTTCAATCACAATTGAATCATGTAAACCTGGTACACATACGGAGAAAAGCTGCTGAATTCTTTGTGCTTTAAATAGTTTTTTGGTTACTAATTGACAAAGAACTGTCCCCGCAGCTGCTGCTGGGTAAAACTGTTACATTTAAGATACTGTTAGATATTTTCAGTCAGATAGATATTGGATAGATACTTTATGTATTAGAAATGTTAGTAGAGATAGGATGTCTAGTTAGACTGTTAAATGCTTAGGCATGCTTATGAGTTTCTACAGGGTACATCTGGTCAAGGCTACCAGAGAGAAGAGTTGATGACTGTCAGCAGACAGGGTGTTCAATATTATTATTACGATGTGTATAACTGTAGACTTAGCCAAAATGTTCCTATGTTCAAGTCACGACATGTACTAGAGGTCGCAAGAATGTTTTTAGCTACACACCACTTAACCAACAGATACACATTCACACGTTGATTTGCTTCATGTTTTGACTATTGCTAGAGCCAGCTACAAAGCTGGTGAGAGAGACGTCTCGGTTGACGTTTCTGGGTAGTATGGGGCAAACCCAACTGAGGTGATAAAATGTATAGGCCTGTTGTGGTTGGGGGTCTTTCATCTTACATCTGCCTGCGAGCAGTTTGGAGGTGCAAGATACCTGAGCGTGTAATGTTAATTTTACCTGTGATCCTTTGAATAAATCAGCACTGTTTTGAAGTTACTTGGACTGCCTCGTCTCTCAGAGTTAGCATGGTAGCAAGAACTGGATCCTACAATACCAATTTTATCTCCAACAGTGTGTTTAATAAGTTCATCTTGTGTTTTCATGTAGAATGTGAAGTAACAATAAACTTTAAAATAATGTACTGCAGTAAAACGTAGCTACACAATGTTGTCCTCTGAAATGCAGTACTCAACTAGACTGCAACTACAAGTACTCATCCTAAACTCATACATTTTACCAGAAGTGTAATCAAGTTATTTTCAGGAGTTAGTCAAAGCAAACAGTACGTTTGAACTTAAAGGAAAAGCAGCATGGTAACTGTCGTAACCTGTCTGAATAATACAGCAGAACTAATTTGATTAACCGTGTGGCATATGTAAATAAAAACATAAATGTAAATAGAGAACATGCACAGTCTGTCAGCCATTAGACATGATCAAACAACAGGAAGTTGGGTTCACATGTGTTTTCTGGGAAGTGGGCTGTGCATGTGCTACTTCCATGTGTTGTCGGAATTTCTGCATTCAGAAAGCACAGCCTGCCTGAAGGGTTTTTTCCACATTTCACAATTGGGGGAAAAAATGGTGGCATTTTCTGAAGGATGTGAGTATAGAGACGAAGTTTGTGTAATTTTCTTTTTCATAGCTCACTTCATAGCTGAAAACATTAGTGAGACAACTTCAGTATTATCTTGAAGTATTCAATCTGTGAAAAATGTTTTAAAAACGTTTTAAGGTTAAAGTTGCTGTTTTAAGCCTGAAACGTCCATTTGATTCTATTCTATTCTGTTGTGTAAATATGACTTGAAGGAATAGTAATGATGAGTTTTACAATAAAAAATATGTCTATGATATTTGTATTTTATGTTTGTTATATTTTTATTATTTTTGTCCAAATGCCACACAGTTCACAAAACGTATCATACAGTTTGTTATTTATATATGTTATTATTTTACTTCCTCCAGCTGGGCTACCATTAGGAGAGATTTACGAGTTTAAGATGAGCACCTGAAGGCAGCACAATAGTAACGTCAGAATCAAGGAACTTCGTGAGGTAGTCCGGGTCGGTCTTCGCCTGAAAACAGGTAATTAACCAGCAGGTAAACTTTTCTTATATACTCAATAACATGAAATATTTTGACTAAAATATGTAAGGCGACACTTTTAGCAGCTTTTATTGCCCTTTAGACAGAATAAGCGGCTTTAGCTGCTGCGCAATAAACGTCATCAGTTTAGTCAGCAGCCATGTTTGTTTGATTTTCGTATTTAATAACACAAAAAATGAAATGTTCCTGAGTGACATTTGGGTGATAGCGATGGGCCAACCTTTAACACTTAAGTAAAATGGACCGTGAATGCCTAAGAACTGACACTTCCTCGTCTTGCCGCCTTTTACCAGATTACGTTTGAAAACATTTAAGATTCCTTCGCTCATCGGGCGCTGTAGACAGCTGTAGACAACCCAATTTTTCAGTTTTTTATTTGTTAAAAACGTTTGAAATATCCAATAAATTTCGTTCCACTTCATGATTGTGTCCCACTTGTTGTTGATTCTTCACAAAAAATTACAGTTTTATATCTTTATGTTTGAAGCCTGAAATGTGGCAAAAGGTCGCAAAGTTCAAGGGGCCCGAATACTTTCGCAAGGCACTGTACATGTAGTGCAGTAAAAAGTAGAGTACCCCTGAAACATAATGGAGTAGAATCATAAAGTAGCATGAAAAGCAAGTACTTAAGTAATGTACAAACACCTCAGAATTGTACTTCAAGATGCGTTAGCTCAGATTTCCCACAGTGTCTGATAAACCCAGTGACAGCAGGACAGGACGGGAGGGCAAGTTAGTTAATGCAGCTTTAACATTTTTCTCCAAAAAGCACAAGCTGCAAGTGAAGATGAAGAAGAGAGGAGAGGTAGAGAAATGGTAAAACGAGGGAGAAAGGTGAGGGGGCAGGAGGGAGGCGGCGAGGGCTCCGGAATTATCTTAAGCATTCATGACGCAGGTAAACGGGCTCTGGGTCAAACACAGGCTGCAGGTGAACCAGTGGACAGTAGCGAACAAAACATCTGGCTGGGCCCCAGAACTGTGGGGGAGTTTTCATACATTCATGCCATTTTTTTTTCAACACTAAGTAAAATTAAGCACAGGCATAAACTTTATTCCCAGGTATTCTCAAAAATACAAGGAATTTGATTCCAGCCCAAAGTAAGTGCAGCAGTAAGTTGTGCACACTCGGCTCACGATGAGAAAACAAGCTATTTGTTTCAAATTGCTGAGCAGTGCAAACTGTGGTTTGCACCAAACTGAGTTTATTATACTGTAGTTTTATTATTTGATATGTTTCATTATGCAAGTTTTATTCTTTAATTTATTTTTCTTAAAGAGTCTTAGTTCTGACTTCTTTGATTGTGAAGTAACTGGTAGCTTTATTTGTGTGCAATAAGTATTATCTTAATAATACTGTCATTGTTTTATGTGACCTTCACATTGAAGTTACCAACCAAAGGTCTTGTGTTGCATGAGAAATAAATAAATAAATAAACATTTTAGTGTGTGTGTGTGTGCAAAACCTCTGTCATCCTCTTTCTAGGGTAAACACTGAACAGGAACCAGAGCGTTAGGCTGGACTGACACATTCACTGTTAGTCCGCTAACGCCAGCTTCAGACTGGAGGTTGCAGTTTATACATTTTGTTCTAACCAGGCATCCATAGTTCACATTGTAGCTTCCGCAACCATGATGGGAGCAGTAAGGAGCAGGTTATGGTGTGCGATTGTTGAGTCTTGCTAGACCCTTGAGGCTGAAGAGACATTAGTTAGAAGAGCTTTATTTTCCTCCACTTTATATGCATTTGACCTTTTGTCAATAAATCAGAATTTCACTGCTTCTTGTCTCATTACTGGTACCTGTGATTTTTTTCAGAATTCCCTTTAAGCTCCTGTGACCTCTGACCTCCATCATGACTTCCACATCCATCACAACAGTCGGTGGAGTGAGGATTGTCACTCAGGTCATCCCAAAGGATGAAACCTCCATAGTGCTGCAGAGTGCCACCCAAAATGACCTGCCCCCTGCCCCCACCTCGCCTGCCAAGACGGATGACATGAGGGATGCTGTCCTCCGGGGGGAACCACAGGGCCTCGGGGTGAGCCAGACAGACCACATATGTACTGTTCACCTTGGTTCTGCTAGTTTGTATGTTGTGCATCGGCTTCATGAGGTGAATTGATTCTCAGAGTGCTCGTTGGATCACCGGTAGCGGTGTAACGACTCAGCCACCTCATGATTCGGTTCAATACACTCACGATACATGAACACAGTCAGAATAAAAACTGATGTGTTGTTTATTTCTTCTTTGGAAATCAGAATTTGAGAGCGGCAGGCGCAGGTTTGTAAAAGCAGAGTCAGGTGAGAGCGAATGGGGGCAGAACAGATGATTTGAGGAGCAGCAGTGATCCTCCCTCACTCTCACATGTGGAGCCTCAAACTGAGTAGCATCAAAATATTGCGTGCCCTCAATCGTTTTGGCGGGGGTGTACTTCCATAGCTGCAAGCCGCCTTACGTGCGCTCACACGCTGATGGGACAGCCACCAGGAGCCGCTTGGGGTTCACTGTCCTGCCCAAGGACACTTGGGCACATGGACCAGAGTTGACAGTAATGTCAATTAATCCACTGTCTGTGTGTGGTTTCAGGTTGTTCAGATCTTCATTGGATTGCTGTGCATTCTCTTCAGTCTGACCGCTGTCTTCTCACGTGCCCTGATGGCCCACGTGCCGTTTGGCCTCGCCATCACTGTATGTAAACTTTACGCTCTTGCAGGTTGTTATGGCCAGTGTCAAGCCTCACTGTGTGAAAAGGTCAGACGCACAGGATGAGATGTTGGTTTTCACATGTGTCTCTGCTGTCATTCAGTTCGTGGTTTCTGGCTCTCTCGCCATGGCGGCAGGGCGACGGACATCAGTTGGACTGGTGAGTTTTCACCTCTTGTCTATTTGTCTTCTACTCTTTTGTTGCATCTGCACATAAACATTCTGGAAGGAGACTGAGCAAATGATCCAGCTACAGGAAAACAATGTTTTGTGTCTCTTTGTGGATGTTTTGTTTAATTGTTTTTTTTTGTTTTTTTAGCTGAGCTCTTTGAAACAACAAATATTGTGTACAGTACTAAGTCACTTCCTACAGGGGATCTGGCCCAGGTCCCCTCAGGGTCCTGGTCCTGTTCACAAATCCTTACATGGGTCCAGGTCATGCTAACTGATTAATTATGTTATGTACAGCTGGGAAATGCTGGTATAGATGCCACAAAATTTACTCTACACCTTTTTGTTGGTTTCTGCCAGAGCTGTGTGACTGTGACTGGGGGATTAAAACCCCGGTGTGGCTCAGACCATGTTCTCAGACTGTTTTGTTGCTGTCGGTGCAGGTTTGGGCGTCTCTGGTGTCCAACGTGATCAGTGTCATGATTGGCCTGGTGGGTGTGGCCTATGTCTGCTGGCTGCTGGCTGTTCGCGTCGTCTCTAAACAGATCTGTGGCACTGGAGCCTCCATATACTCGTATGACTGGGAAAATCCCTGCATCCGTAGCATTCAATACCTGGATGTAAGTTTATCACCAGTCTAAGTTTCAGGACCAGACGGTCCAGGACTAGTAGTACATTTTGCCCCTACTGGAGCAAAAGTAGCAAAGTACTGTGATAGCAAAAGATAATGACCTTTTAATGGGTTGAAATGATCAGACTGGACTTGGTATCAGCAGTGTTTTAAAGACTCTGGGATCAGGACAACCCTCCTAATAAGGGATTAAGATTCAGTAAGTGACATGACATTTTATGGTTTAAAGATGATGTTTCCTTTCCCTGAATCTCACAAGGGTTTTATTGTAGTAAACTGCTCGTGACTGCAAGGTTAGTGAAGTACCTCTGTTCACACTGCCTCCACTGTCATTGTACCTTCTGTACATTTATGTACTGCGCCCATTTCACTGTTACAGTGGTCATTTTATGATTAGGGCAGGACCTTGTTTTATTTTATTGTTTTCATCATTATAACACTTTCAATAACTGCATAAACTGCTATTCCATCTTACCTCACATGAGTATCTCAAGTATTTAAAGTTCACACACAAAAAATATTATATGCTGGTCAGTCACAGACTTGTCAGGTGATGTAACAAAAAGCCGATTACATATTGACTCTGTCTTGATGGTTTCTCTTCTCTGGGGGTTTCAGGAGATTATGTACGGACTTCACGGCATCCTCCTGGTTCTGCTTGTCCTGCAGGTTTGTGTCAGCATCACCATGTGTGTTCTCTCTGGGAGAGAGCTCAGACACCACAACCTCTACTCCCCCGTTAGGGTAAGTCACCTTCAGTTGTGGAAAAAGCGCTCCAATCCTTTATTCAAAGAAAAGTTGAAATACTACAGAGTACTCTGTTGCAAGTACAAGTCCTGTGATCAAAGGTTGTGTTCACATCAGAGCTGAGACAACTCAGACCTGATGTTTCCACATAAGAGTGAATAAACCAAATGAGACATTCTCAGATCAGATCTGAGCCACTTGCATCTGTGCTCCTAGATCTGATTCATACCCGACCTCTGACTCTGTGAACACTATCAGATCAAACAAGTAAAGGACCTCAGAAGTGTACTTGAATGCAGTTATGTACACGGGCACTTTCTGTCACTGCACACTTTGCCTCACATCAGGTTGAAAGATGTCACTGTGCTTTTTCTTTTCTCTTGTTTTAATTGAGTTGAAAACTTTTATAAATGAAATACAGGTGCTTCCTTAACATCTGATGATGTTTGACCTTTGACCTGCAGGTGAAGGTTGATGGCAGCGGCCCTCTGATGTCCAGTGCGGTGCACAGCAGCAATGTCACTCTGCTGGGGCACGAGGGCGAGTAAACCTCATTTCCCCTGTAAATACTGCAGTAGTGCCAGACCAGAGTGCCATTACACTTCAGCTCTGCCTGTCACTATAACCTGTAACCATCCTTCCACCAGTTTCTCTCTCTCTGCTCCTCATGACTTGTTGTTGCTGTCTAACTGTGACAGTATCACATTGCATTCTGGGAAATTTAGGGCTTAATCTGTGGTCAGAACAAAATCTAATTTTCAAGAATAATAATATTTTACAAAAATAAAACCCTAATTATTGAAAATTAAAGTTGCAGTTTTATGAGAATAAAGTTGTAAAAGTTTGGGAATAAAGTTGCAGTATAATGAGACGGTTTCAAAAATGTTGTAGTCAATATCACAACTTTTATTTATCTTATGGCTTTTTCTCATAATACTATGACTACTTCTTTAAATGCTGTATTTTGATCATGTTCTCACAATATTTTGTCTTTTTACAAACCACAGCCCAGTAGTCATACAAAATAACTACGTGGACCACTGAGTGAGTTCAGATTATTTTGTCACATGCTGGAAGGATTTAAGAAATCGAATGTAACATGTTAGTGTGCAGTTTTACTGATCAGTCTGAGCACAGTGTTTTGTCAGCCCTCAGTCTGATTATCATCACAGTTTCACTTGTTGATGTGCTATTTTCATCTGAAAGGTCAGGTAAACCCATCTCATAAAGAAACACAACATGCTGAGTAAAACCTGGTGTGGGTAAAGTCTGCTTGTTTCTGGATGAAAATATGTAAACACTGTAATAAAGAGCTGCCACTTTTCATGTGATATGATATTAAATATTAGAGCTTTAGTTTTTCTTAATGCTAATTTACTCAATAAAGTTTTTTCTCATAACTTTATTTGTCTTGTCTGGTTCACAAAATAAGATTCAACTGAATCTATTTTGATTTGTTTTGATGATTTTCTATTCACACAGGTTCATGCTGTACTACAGTAACTATATTAGGAAGGTAAGCACTTGATGTACCAAACTGAAACTGCTGAAACCTCGTATCACTTCACATCATTGAAGACATTTTTATTCAGTGAGGAGTGGAGATTTTATCCTCCATTCACTGTAAGCTCATAAAGGGACCTGATGTGAGATATACAGTATGAGCAGAATGAGGGATTACAGAAGAAGAAGCTGTTTCAGTTTGCATATGTACCAGACTGAAAATGGTAACCTGCCCTTTATGCTTATTTATATATTTATTCGTTTATGTATGTATATATTAATTCGTTCGTTCATTAATTTATTTGTTCTCATTCGTTCGTTCGTTCATTAATTTATTTGTTCTTTCATTCATTAGTTAGTTTGACCAGTCCCATCCGCATTTATGCACTTGTAGCTAAAAGATGCGAACTTTTATTTTGAAGTGTGGAACCGGATATAGAATCTGGTTAAACTGAGCTGTGGGCGACTGGGCGTTAGTTGTGTTACTGCCAGTGGGATTCTACTGTTTCGGCTGTGTTTCTGATCGCGTCTGTGTGTATTGAACAGACAATTATATGTCTAATTAAATGGAAACCTCGATAGATGCCTTTGAAGCGGGTAATGTAGAAAACTCCAGTTGGAAGCGTTTTATTTCTGCTGAGTGACGTAAGTTAGCTAAGTTAGCTGCTTAGATTTGATTACATTCTGTGTTTGAGTCCAAATTAAACACAGTCCGATCATGTTCACCTAGTTAGTCCGCGTTAGTTAACTTTAGTCAGAAGTCAGCAGTGGTGGGGAAAGTACTAAAATCTTTTACTACAGTAAAATTAGCAGTACCGCAGTGTAAAAACACTGTTAAAAGTCCTGCATTTTAACTGCGAAAGTATTAGCATCAAATTGAAGTAGCAACAGTAGTCATTATGCAGAATGAAGAGTTCACATTAATGTATATTTTATACATTGTTATGTATATTATGTATATGTGTGTATTGTTATATTACAGTTATTAATTGTTAATGTATGTAAGGTTACTTATTTCTACCAGTGGTTGTCGGTGTGTTTGCAACCTGCTAACTGCACCTGTATGATTAATTGAATGCACTAAATAAATGTATAACAATAAAAAGTGAACAATATTTTTATTCAAGGGGAAAAAAGGTGAAATAGCACAGTGCACACGTTAAGCACTAAAATGGTATTAAATATTGTCAGTAATATTGTGCATCAAAATATACAAATGCCTTTGGTACTGAGGCTTTATTCTCTTTGTCTTAACACTGGTTTTTATTATTTTCATTTGTGAACAGCAGTTTAGTCTATGAAATGTTAAAACGTTCCTTTGCAGGAAAGTAGCCTATAAACCGATGTGCTGTGTTGCAGGTGAGGTGAGGAAGCAGCATGGATAAAGTGAGGAGGATCCTGGTTTATGTTTGTACAGACCGAACAGCGCCTCAGCGAGCCCAGTTTGTTCAGGTCAGTACAGGAGGAAGCAGTCGCTGTCGGGGTTTCCCACCGTGTTGAATTGTTGCTTTAACCAGCGAACAGCCCAAACCACTAGACACTAGTTAATGAGGGTGGAGACTGGGATCAGTCACATTCGTGTCACATGTTTTGCAGAGTGTAACGGGGTACTTCATGGACACTGTTGACGATGAAGTGGAGGTGAACTGGTCTCTGGAGAAAAACCAGTTTGTCCTGTACAAAGCAGACAGAGGGCAAGGGGTCCCTCTGAAGGTCAGAAAAAAAATGTTTACCCCTGTCTTTAATATGTGCCCCTCTTTCTTTAATATTTACCCCATGTGTTGTTTGTCTCCCAGAGGCCCTCCTTCTGTCCCATCAAACACCTGTCAATCACAGAGACATCTGCAATCCCATTGGACATTCAACAGCGTGGAGTAGATGTGGGCGTGGCCATCATCCTGCAGACAGCTAACCAGAGAGTACTGCTGACAAGGAGGGCGAAGCAGCTTAGCATATTTCCCAATGTCTGGGTTCCTCCAGGTCTGACACACACACAGGCACTCTGTAAACACACACCTCCATTTAACACACACACACACACACACACTTCTTCCAAACTGGTTTGAGTGCTTTTAACACCCCTATTTCTTGATCTTGCATTTTCGAGGTGGACACTTGGATCCCGATGAGACGGTAAATAATCTTCTGTCTTGTTTTTGATAATTGTGCCTGATATTTTTCAAGTATGTAGGCTTTTGTGTCATTCATGCATTCAGAAACTGTCATAACAAAACTTTCTCATTGTATCATGTTTGTGTGTGTAGCTGCTGGATGCAGGTCTCAGGGAGTTAAAGGAGGAGACTGGACTCAAGTTGGAACCAGAGGAAGTTTTTCCAAAAGTACTAGGACTGTGGGAGGTGAGACAGACACACAGACAGATGGGAAGTCTGGTAAGAAAGATTATCAGTATGGAAATCTGAGGTTTGAGGTTTTGAGCCCCATGTTTTTTCAACAGACAGCTCCAACTTGTTCTGTGCAGGGCAAGAACCTGGTAGAGTGGTGCAAACAAAACTTCAGACACTGTATAAAGTGACAGCCATTTTTGTCTTTGGAGCTGGTTTTAACTGTCACACCATCTAAATAAAGGAACAGTGATATTTTCTAAAAGTATAAATTACAAAGCTATTGCAGTTCATGGTTGGCACCTGGACGCCTCAGAAACAACAGATTCTGTCCAAGATTAGATATCAGCAGCTTTTTGGTTCCCACAAACAGCTTCACTTTTTCCAAATGTGTTTTTCCTTCAGAGTTTATTAGTCTGTTCACTTCATGCCTGTTACCTGCTGATGAATCCCAGCCACTCTGATTGAGAAACACGTTTTAAAATAGATGTTTATTGTTTATGGGATAGCGTAAAAAACAGAAGCCACAGCACATCTAAAACAATAACAGAAACCTCAGCAGTTAATATAGATCAAATACAAAGCTGTTGTTTCTTTAAAAAATACACAATAAAAGAATTTATATACACACACAAAAGGAGTGATCAGGAACAATAATGCAGCATAACTTCATCAAAGGTTTTAGTATTTATTTGCACAGGGAACCTCACATTTTACCAGATCTATGAACTTGAGGTTGAATATGTATCTGTAAAACACGGACATTTATTCAAGTTGTGATGTATATGTAATTTACATGTGTTCAGACTGTCACACACATTTGTTAGTCTTGTTATTTGTAAATCTTGTAACAGGCATTTGTCAGCATTGTTCAATCTAATTTCTCTTTATAGAGTTCTGCTTTAAAAATGCACTTAATGGTGGATGATTAGAGGTACAGTATCTTTCACTAAAATCAGCTGTGTGTCTCCTGTCACTCAGTCCACCTACCCTCCCATGCTGTCCAGAGGACCTCCTCAGAGACACCACATAGTCATCTACATGCTGCTGCATTCCTCCCTCTCACACCTGGAGCTACAGGTACGTTGTGACTCAAGTCTAGGACTCATACAGTTGCTGTGTTTCTGATTATACATTTGGGAAAATGTGATGCTATGGTTTCAGTGGTGTTTCCCGTGCTCATCTCCACCCTGCAGCCCTCTCTGAACCCCTCTCCTGCTGAGGTCAGTGCCTGTGTGTGGGCTGACAGCCGGCTGGTCAGAGCCATTGTCTCCGCTGTGGATGGAGAGGACGCCGAGGTTGGACTGGAAGGCCTGCCCAGCAGCATCAGGTATCACAGTTGCACATGAACAGCTGGAGCCGCGATTCTGCATAGAAAATAAGACTGAAACAGAGAATGTATAATTGTTAACATTCCTGAGTAAACTTAACTTTAGATTAGCCCAAATGATCCTCCTGCAGGTGAAGAGTTCTGCTGGTTTGTTCACTGCTGTCAGGTGCAGCTTGTTAAATGTGAAATAAAAGGTAGGTTTTATGCTCTGGTTTTGCAACTTGTCTAGAAATGTAACCCTTTCAAAATGTGGGCATCAATAAATTCAGATTGTTCTAGCCTTTCTTTAGATTTTTTCTATAAATCACTTTAAAAGTCAGGTAGTATTTTTTATGTTTGATAAATAATGGTGTACTGTAATTACTGTAATTCTGGTGGAGGTTTGAGCCTGCTGATTACAATTTTAGTTTGGGCAGTAAAATGATTTTTGGTAAATTTTAGACCTTTGATATAACTACAGATGTTTCCTGATTGGTTTCATTTTCTCTGCGAAACAGGGACAAAGCTATAGGCTATTGTGTTATGGTTGCTATATTCTGTACTGTGTTACAAATATTGTTCTTTTGCTAATGTTTGCAAAGGTAACTAAGCGCCTTCTGTGTTTCCAGTGTGTCACAGGTGTCAGCTGAGGGAGCTCTGAGCAATTCCACACTGCCTCTGACGGTATTTGTCAGCCAGGCACCAGCCAGCGGGCCAGATGTGGAGCGAGTCAGCACCGGGACCAAGTTTGCCCTGGAGCTGTGGCTGAGGAGCTCATCAGCTGACCTCTGACCTCAGCCCCACACCTATCTTTGCAGGCACTACAGAGGGCTGCTCTGAAAGGGAGTAGTTTAAATGTCGTGTTTATTTTTATGTACTGTACCTTTAATCCCAGCCTCATTTTTCAATAAAACAGATTTGAAACGGAAAGACTGTTAACTCTCAGGAACCGAGGCAGTTATCTAAAATTATTATTGTCATGTAAATAATAAGATTGTATAAATTTCTTTTGTTTCATAGCTGTCAGATCTTATTTTGACATCACATCCATCTCTTTTCCATCTTAAATAATTAAATTTACACTCTCTTTAATTCCATAACAACTGACCAAACTGCTGATGAAGACCATGTGAATTGACTGTAAGCTCCTTTCATTTTAATTGAAGATTAAATAAGTTTGTCACAATTAACATTTATTTTATATTCATGTCTCTGCTCCCATATAGTCTTTAAATGATCAAAACAGCGCCCCCTGGCTTGTAAAGGCTGGTAAGCGTCAATCCGTGTGGTCAAAAGTGGTACTGCACTCAGACCGTCGATGTTAAGCCCAGCGGAAGAGAAGCAGGTGACAGTGATTAAACCATAATAGGGGTAGTGAAGCTGTTATTGGAAAACAAACTGTTCGAGGTAAGGTTTCTTCAGAGTATGGCCAAACTAATTACAGAAATGTGAGAAGTCGTTCAAATGAAACAAGCAAGGGAGTTAGCCAGTTAGCTAGGATAACTGTTAATAAATAAAATACTTGGCGGCCCAAACACGTGCGGGAAATAAGAAGACATTGTGGATATAATCCTACATTAAAAGAGGACAGGACTTCAAATAAAGTGAGTTAAATACACCCCCTGTATACCGATTTTGTTACATTTTCTACCTTGTCGACATTTACTGTACGTGTTTAGTAGGTCTGTGCTGTACCTTATGGTTATAGTTTTGTAAATAGTGTGGGTACTAATTTGTGTTGTTGCTGCTCTTGTTAATAGTTATATTCGGCACTTTAAAGTACCTTACGTGTCACGTCTTCGAAGCGTCTGTATTCTGTACTGTAATACTATTTAATGCTAATGTTAGCAAAAGTGGCTACACTATGCTAACACGCTAGGTATCCTATAGTGTTGAATGAAACGAAACAACACGTGACACCATAATCTGGGGGTCTTATTAGTGAAACTTAACTCATTCACCACCGCCTCTTTGGGTCTCTGCACAAGATGTTCATTATACTACAGCATTTAAAAAAATCTTTATTAAAGTTACAGAAGCTCTAAAAGTCGGACTCTGTGTGACTCCGGGAGCTGGGGAGATACGCAGGTGTAGTGTTGGAAGAAGTAGAAATGTCACCTCCTATAAATACTCCAAAGGTCGTACTTTCAAAAATTGAAAAGTATTAGCATCAGAATATGCTTTTAGTAGCCAAAGTAACGGTAGTGATTCTGCAGAACAGCCGATTTCACATTAATGTCTGATACTACTGGACCCTACTGACTGATACATTACTGTGTTCATCACTTTAATGCTGTAGCTCCTAAAGGTGGAGCTGATGTTGGTACTTGAAATCCTGCTGGGTAGCTCGTGAAATTCCCATCGGGATAAATAGAGTCTGATGATTCTACTGTGTTTGGTTTGATTCATCTGATTCTGAAAAGGAACAAAAGTTATCATACATGTAGTGTAGTAAAAAGTACGAGGTTTGTCTCTGATATGTAGTGAAATCACAGTACGAAGTAGCAAGACATTAAAATATATAACTCTCACAATTGTATTTACTTGACTAAATGTACTTTCCACCACTGAGCAGGGGAGCCAGCTGCCAGTCACACCTGTCAAACATCAAAACCTTCTATAACCTAAAATCTTACTAATGGAGCATCAACTTCCAACATTACCATCAAGTCTGATTTAAGAGACTGAGTGCATTAAATCACGTAGAAAAAAATCATTGATCTATTGTTAAATATTATTATATTTTATATTATTATATATGTTATTATTAAAATTATTGAACCTCTGGAGCAGGTTAGCTGTGTGGCATTAGTTACCGTGGTGATCTAGCCCAATTATAAATGAGCCCAAAGCCCAAAGATATCTGGGTAAGCCACTGATCTCATTTCATGGCACAGGCCCCTGGTCGCATATCTTATGTTTACCTGCAACACCTAAGCCTCGAGGCCAGCAGGTGGCACCACAGACCAGAGTTTAACCACGTTAGCGCCGCAACCATCAGATCATGTTTTCAGATGACGATCATAGATTTGCTCTGCGGTTCAAACCAGCAACTCTTATTTGGTTTAGTCACTATAACATGATCCACCACAGCAGCTTTTAAACTACTGAGCATACCCTTTTGTTGGTTAGGAACACGTCTTCCACAGCTCAGGGTGAATCCGATTCTGTCACTGTGAAACTTTACAGAGGGCGGTTATGTATTTCTTTTTCAATGATATTTACACAACTATACTTTAATTTTCAGTTTTTCTTTTGTTCTGTGTTTTCTCTTATCCTTCCTTGTAGCTTTGAGTGAGTCCAGCCTAAATAATAAGTGTTTGTATAATTGGTGAGAAACCATGAAGCCTTTTGCTTGGGGCAAAAACAACAGACGCACATTTACTTTAAAATGATATGTACTTTCTAAAAGTCAATTTATAGTAGTGTGGTGACATTTTTTTAAGCTTGTTTTTCTGAATGGGGGCAAATTTTTCCGGAATACAAGCTTTTTTGAATTTTCTTGTAGTATATATGTGGCCCAGTTAATGTAAAAGGCTGTTTATTGTGTTTATAAATAACTACCCAATTGTGGATTTCTTGTTAAAGGACACATTCACATTTTTAAGTCTGTTTTCTTGCTGAACTGTGATGGAGATAAAAATAAGAGTGGATTTGCCACTAAAAAGACAAAATGTGGAGGATATTTTCTTGATTTGTCCAAATCAGACTCATATTGGCTTCAGATCAACTTTTCACACAGTGTTAATGACCAGTGTGGAGAGGAGCAGGTGAACCAACCAGCAGTTCTCACAGTGTACATACAGGCATGTGAGTAGTGCAAAGTACATTGTGAACCAGATGTGAAAAATGTCATTTGATACTGAAATAGTTTTCTAAAGGGGTGCCCTGACTTCCTGCAGGAGGTTTCAGTGCTGCAGGGAGTTCAGGTGAATCACTGCTGACAGAAAATGAAACACATTAAAGCCACATTAGAAACAGCCAAGCCCAGTGAGTCCATAGAAACAGTTTGTTCTGTTGCTGTTTGACTGTTTGCAGGATGGGAGGACAGGCACCTCAGTAATTTGTGATAAATATAGAAGCGAAGTTGTATAAACACTTAGTCATTAGATGGTCTTATATGACCATAAACCACTGTGAGCAACAGCACATAGTACAGTATTTCTTTGGCACATTTATATAATTAGAATGTGATTCTGTAGTTCTCAGTCGCTGTATTATGGTCTAAAGTCACGATAGTTTTGCTCCTACTGTGCATGATTTTACATCCTGGCTCATCTCATAATTCAGTTTTAAACCTGATTTTGAACCTAACTGGATGAATTTCATATTAAATGGATTAATTTCTTTGTTCATATTTTTATATATCTTCTAGGTTCTCTTTTATATTCCTGCCCTAGTTTTAAATGTTCAGACTGTGTCCTACCAAGCTGTCTGAAAGTCTTAAAGAGCATCACGTTCATTTTGTTTTATGCCAAGAAAAAAGTCTTAAATTTTCCCTTTTGGCTGCTGTAGATTTGGCTGTAATGTTAGTTGTAAAATGCTTTTACATGTCCCTGTGAGCTCTCTTAAACCTCTAAACTAAAAGTAAAAATAATAAAATAAATAAAACTAAACGCTTCTACATGACTTCTCCCATCTTTGGCCAGTGTGGCCCTGAAACAGTATTAAATTGCATTCTCTGACTGCAGAAACCAAAAATAAACCATGGTTTATTTTAGAAGCTAGACACAGAAATGAGATTGTACAATGAAACTTCCATTGTAAGTTTGAGACCAGGTGGACTAAACTTTGGTTTCAGTTTACCTGAATCCATGGGCGAGACCTATCCACAGGGAGTTCAGGTCTCAGGGCGCCTGGCTGCTGTTCTTACAGAACAGTCAAGCCCAGTCAAACACTGATAAGTGTTGCCTTTTGATAACGGTCACTTACTTGCGTCACAGTTAAGTGCTAACTTATCACTGTCAGGTGATTACCTAACAGCCTGTTGATGACAGCCTGTTAAAACTGTGGCTTCAGCCAGAATAAAATCTGAATGTCTGTCTGTTCTCTACAGGTTTCAGAAGAGACAAGCTGAGGTGGTACAAGCAAACTGCAGCCTCCACAACTGACTGTGATAGGCTGTCAATCAAGGTAAACACCACCACACATTGACCTTATGCAGCCCATCCATTTTTTGTTTGCGTCCTGTCAAGTGTCTTGGTCCTGATTGGTTCCAGCTGTACAGAGCTAAGTTCACACGCCCCTGTTTATGAAGAGGTCATGTTACCTGACAGCACCACATCCATCATAGGTATCAGATTAAAACAGGCAGTCCTCCAACTGAAGTAGGTCGTTTGTCCCTCTGATCTGACTCATAGCAGCAGACCTGCAGCGGGTGTTACCATGGTAACAATAATAAACTCATGGTTAAGGTTGTAGATGGCCCGTTTGGTTAGGTTTATGCACAAAAACAGCTTGCTCAGGTGTAGGAAAGATCATAGTTTGGGTTAAATGAGTACCTGCTCAAGGTAAAAGGATCTTTGTTGTCATGGTTACCTACAGAGCTAGCTAACCTGCAGCTAGCGTGCCTTTTCAAGAGGACTGACGTTTACCTGATGTGTACAATGATGCAGGTTATTAATATTAATGGCGTGGATCACAAATGATTTTGATTACTGAGCCAGATGTATGATGATGTGGTCTGGAGCTGATTAACAAACATGAATTCAACATAGCTAAATCTAGACAATAAAACAATCTGTCATGAATATATATATATATAAACAAAGTGCAGTGTCTGCTGGACCTTTTTGACAATTAACATTTTAATAATTAAAATTGAATATAAATAAAAACTTGTTGCAAGGTTCCGGGTTGTGTGGCTACAATTATTCACAGTAAAGTATTGAACGTAATGCAATACAACAAAAACAGACATGCAAACTAAAACCTGAAATGAGTGAGAGTGTGAGTCAAGTTGGACATTTCCTTGTCTGTGATCAGTCAGTAAGATGCTGACGGAGTCACCGAACAAGGAAACACAGCAGAGCCTAACCCAATCTCTTCAGTTTTTCATCAGCTTCATTGTCATATAATTTTCTAGTTCATAAATTAAAAACTGGTGTTTCACCTCCCTTCACATCTCGTCTGCTGTTTTGGTCTTTGTGAAGCTTTTTTGTTAAAAGAAGAACTTTGCTTGAAGAACACAAGACACCTGCAACAGTGCAGATCCACTTTCAGCCTGGAATTTTCCTGCAGCAAAACAATACAGCTCAAACTGGGATATTGACACTGCTGAAAAACTGCACAGTGAATGGAAATATGATGATTAACACCAGTGGCAATAAAACCACAAAGGAGAGAGTGATGACCAAGCCACAATGCATTTAAAAGAAGGGCAAAATGATATTGATAATACAGTTCAATAAGATGGAGATGTACAAAACAATGATGCAAAAAGGCCTAATAATAAACTGAACTGATTATGAATGGATGTGGCAATAAACTCAAAAAAGAAAAAACAAGATTAATTATTGTCAAAATGGTTTATTTTAAACAAAATGTCAGCGATTACTACTGATAGTCTTCATTCTTACATCATTTTTTATGTAATATAAAATAGTAATAGTTCTGACAAGAATATTGTAAATTAAAAACAAAATATAAAATATTAAAATGACCATACGAGTGATTTATATAGTGCATTAAGCAATATTTCAGACAGGATTTTAAGATCATATTTGTTTTATGAATTTAACATACAACAGTTATGTACTTAAAATTGTAATAGCAATGATAATTACATACCAAATTACAGTGGAAGAATATGATAACATAGGTAGTGATTTTTTTTTTCATGAATGGCATTTTTTAAATGTACCGAAAAAATATGATTAAAATGAGGCCATGATTTTAAACACATTAAGAGCACATAATCATAGTCACATAGTTTTTTGGTGCTACACGGTGAAATTGCATGTGTTCATATGTACTAAGGAGCATCAGTGGAGTTTTGTGGCAGAGAAACAGATAAAATGTGGTAATGTAGGAATTTGCACATCTGGTCTCAGGCATTTTGTATTTTAAGATTTTCCAGTTCAGGGACACAGAAATCAGGAAGGAGAGGATGGAAGTTTATCCAGATACCCTCAGCGCCTGATGTACCACGACTGTGACAGAGGGAACTGTGGCTGAAGTGTAACATCTGGAGTGTTAAAGCAGGTGTAAACACCCTGCTGTCAGTCGTCTGAGACCTCATCAGAGTAAGAATATGTTTGAGGAGGGAGAGGCTGTTTGTAAATTGCTCCCCAGACGAGAATGTCGGGGGCCTTCTACGGGCTTTCAGCTCAGACCATGCTTCAGTTACTGAACCAAATAAAAGAGGATTTGACTGGCAGGAGACTGCGGGACTGCAGCTCCCAAATATTGGTTGGTGTCTTCAACCGTATTAAAGTTCAGTTGCTATAAACATGGACTTCTCTGCTGTCCCTCTCAGCCCACACATGCACAGTACCGGCAGCAGGTCGCAGCCTGTATTCAAATGATCACCTGTTTTCATTTACATCATTAGTGTTGGTAAATGTGTGTTAAATTGGGAAAAATAAAAACGCTGTGCCGCAATATTTTCTGTGCCTGACAGTGATTTGCTCCAGGTTTAGTAAATATCCCCCATAATGTCTATAGTAAAGCTAATAATACTATTGTTGTTATGAATATACAAACATGTGGTTAAAAATAATAAAAGTATAGTATCATCTTAAGCATTTGTTTGGATCAAAATGTTTTTAGAATGTAAATTTAATGAGCCAATTGATTAACATTAGCAGCAGATATATCAGTGGCAGTTATCAGAGAGAATATAAAATACACACACAAGTACACAAGTAACATTTATATCATGTCAGGTTTGTTTTTCTTTTTTCTAATTTGACAATTTGTATAATTCCAATAATTCTAATACAAATGGTAATATCTATAGCTAATAACATAACAAAATGACAATAGTACTAGTACAGCTTAATGTAGTTTTTAAAATGTACAAATATAACAACTGGTATATTATTTTAAAGCGTGTCTTTTGTTGTAAGAATGCTGTGGTGTGTAGCATTTTCCTGACAATAAATGTTGTTCATTAGCTTTTTTAATAATATAGAGCTTCACTGTGCTTTGCAGGCAATAAATAAAAGCTAATGAAATGAAAAAATGTTTGTTAGATGTTCATCCAAAAATCAACATACAGCAGGTGTGGTCTGTGTAAAAACAATGTTTTTCATTGTGATTTTGTAAAGTGTTGGTCTTTCTGCCAATTAACAGGTCATAAAGTTGCATCGCTATTGGTTCATCGCGTATGTCCCTGTGTGGTTCTTCATCGGATTTTCCATTTTGTCCTGAAAGAGAGGAGTTAAGGAGTGAGTGTCAAACACAGGGTTCTTATTTACATGCCCTCTCCTTTGCTTTCTTAGTCTTTGAGGTTGTTGGAAGCTTTTTACTTTTTCAGTTTTCATGGAGCTAGGCTAGCAGTTTGTGCTAAGCTAGGTTAAATGTGCCCAGGATTTGTTTTTGTTTCTGTTGTGAGACTTCTCACAATGTCAGATTATGGAGAGGTATTTATTTGTTAGTGCAACTTAATAAGGTTAAGACATTAAATAAGTTCCACTAAGTGGAACTAATATGCAAATGTAGGGTTAAATAGATTTGAGCATAACTGAGATGGTCCTAAAGGGGTTTTTCCAGGAACTTAACAAAACGAGTGTTTGCAGAGCAGTTACTGATGATCTGTTAAATGTCCACGTCTTCACACCTCAAGCATTAGCATTACAAGCAGGGTTGCGTAAAGAGGGGCTGATATTGGTTTAGAAGTGAAAACCAGGAGTTCACTCATTGGTTTATGGGTAAAATGGGGACTTCAGTGAGCGGGCTGCGGCTAAATGTGCCCAGGATCTGTTTTCGTTTCTGTTGTGAGGAGACTTCTCACAATGTCAGATTATGAAGAGGTATTTATTTGTTAGTGCAACTTAATAAGGTTAAGACATTTAATAAGTTCCACTAAGTGGAACTAATATGCAAATGTAGGGTTAAATAGATTTGAGCATAACTGAGATGGTCCTAAAGGGGTTTTTCCAGGAACTTAACAAAATGAGTGTGTGCAGAGCAGTTACTGATGATCTGTTAAATGTCCATGTCTTCACACCTCAAGCATTAGCATTACAAGCAGGTTGTGTAAAGAGGGGCTGATATTGGTTTAGAGGTGAAAACCAGGAGTTCGCTCATTGGTTTATGGGTAAAATGGGGACTTCAGTGAGCGGGCTGTGGGCAAAACAGTGAAGACATCACATTTCTGCAAGTCTGTGTTCTGCTTGTTCAACAGCCGTGTGGTTAACTGCTCCTACAGCCTTAGTTACTGGCTGATTGGTGCACTGTGGAGTGATCCTTCATGGCCTCTGTTTTCTGACTGCTCAGCAGCCCCTCCCTCCTAAACAAAGGCCAACAGAGAATATACAGTGTCAAACCAAAGCAGGACGGTTCGCGTCAATATTGGAGGTTATGTGGGGTGAAGTACCAGGTTTACCACTCATTATGTTCCCATAGTGGAAACGCATCATAGGAGGTATTAATTGTAAGTATAGGTTAAAAAGAGTTAATATTATTAAGGTGGTGCTAACAGGTATTAATGTAACTACAGAGTAAACATTTCATTAACATTTATAGAAACATTACTACCAGGTGTTAATCGATGACTACATTAAAAGGATTTTATTAACATTTAGACGTTACTAAAGGGTATTAACGCTGCTGCAGTATACGGTAAAAAGATTTTACCGTATTCACCACAGTGAGTGAGAATTCTATACGTTTACATCTAAATTATGACTGACTAATGATTTACTAAAACACAAGTAGCTTAGTTTAGCCAATGAAAATTTGCTACTTTCACCACAAAGGTCAGTGAACACACAATCTGACTGCTTTTGTTTGTCCTTTTCCCTGTCGTTATAACCACATCTATCACATTACAGGTAGGTGTTGCCCCTATCTGTTCATATTCCCTGTGCAATTGTTGACTGCCTTGTATAAAATGCAAGCCACTGAATGACTGTTACAGTAATCTCCCCAACCCAGTACACACCTGATTAGATTTAGGATACGTCGCT